TGATGATGATGATGATGATGATGATGATGATGATGATGATAAAGTTGGAAGGGACCTTGGAGGTCATCTAGTCCAACCTCCTGCTCAGGCAGGAAACCCTATACCATTTCGGACAAATGGCTGTCCAGTTTCTTCTTAAAAACTTCCAGTGTTGGAGCATTCACCGCTTCTGGAGGCAGGTTGTTCCACTGGTTAATTGTTCTAACTGTCAAATTTGCTTAACAACCGTGTCCCTAATTTAACAATTGGAGCGATTCACTTAATAACTGTGGCAAGAAAGGTCATAAAATGGGGCAAAACACACTTAACAAATGTCTCAATTAGGAACAGAATTTTGGGTTCAATTGTGGTCGTAAGTCGAGGGTTACCTATAGTTTTGTTTAGTTATGTTTTCTTTTTATATATATATTTTAGGAGTTTGTATTTTAATGTTTTGAATAAAAAAAATTTTAAATGTGATAAAAAAAAAGTTATCCCAGTTATATTAATCCAGTTTTGGCAAGTATCAAGCTTCCTTTTGATTATTATTTCAGGGAAATTAAAATAAAAAATAAGAGCGAACTGCTTGGAGAAAGATGGATTTTTCCCCACTTCCTTTTTACACCTATTTTATCTTTCTAGAGGTGCAAATGTAAAAATTCAAGAAGCCTCACCTTTTTTGCAAGGAGGTGGAAGTGAGAATTAATATTTGTTCTGTGTTCACAACGCACAAGTCTGAAAGGTTATGGTATATTCTAAAATCAAACTGTGTTTGAGGGGAGAGGCTAGTTTTGGGGCTTGATCTTGGCCCAGATATAATTTAGCCTCTGGATTCTTGTGGTATGCTAGGCCTTAATGACCCCGTTAAGCAAGCAATAACTCTCTTATTTTCTCTCTGTGTGTCCCATGAACAGCAGTCCTCCACATACAACCCTTTGTTTAGTGATTGTTCAGTTAACAGCACTGAAAAAAAAGTGATTAAACATTAAATATTAAAATAAGGGACCGTTTTTTTAATACGTATGGCCGTTGCCGCATCCCCATGGTCATGTGATCAAAATTCAGACACTTGGCAACAGACTCATATTTATGATGGCTGCAGTGTTCCAGTTAACAACCTTCCTTGCCACAGTTGTTAAGTGAATCACCACACTTGTTAAGTTAGTAACATGGTTGTTAAGTGAATCTGGCTTCGCCAGGGACTTTTCCTGTCAGAAGGTTGCAAAAAGGGATCACATGACACTGCAGCTGTCATAAATATGTGCCAATTGCCAAGTGTCCAAATTTTGGTCATGTGACCATGGGGATGCTGCAACATTAAAAAAAACCCAGTCATAAGTCACTTTTTTCAATGCCGTTGTAACTTCAGACGGTCACTAAATGAACTGTTGTAAGTTGAGGACTACTTGTAATGCTTTGATTCCTTTTCTTATTAGGATTAGTTCTAGAACACGATCGTTTAATTTTTAAAGTTAGGGAACTACAACTTCCAGGTCAGCATGGTGAAGAAGTCCAGGAAGATTGCATTAAACGTTTTTGACTTCAGTGCCTGGCATACTCCTTTGCTACTTAAGATCTGGCATGGTCCCACTTTCCTTTGTAGAGATTAATTTGGTTTTAGCTATTGAAGGGAGAGGTGTGTCCACCTCTAAAAACGAAATTGGCTCTTCTCTTTCAGATCTTCAAATATCTCCAGCCTGGGATGTCAAAATGCATTCAGAGATGCCTATTTCTCTTATTTCTTTTCATATTTCTTCCTTCTCACAAATTTGTATTAGTTTATCAAAATAAAAAATGCAAAAATGCAAAGAAAAATGAGAATCGTAGGAAAATAGGGAAGGAGAAGGGGAAGAGGAAGAGAAAAAAGTGTAGGGAAAAAGGAAAAAAAGAATAACAGAGTTGGAAGGGACCTTGGAGGTCTTCTAGTCCAACCCCCTGCTCAAGCAGGAGTCCCTATACCAGCATCGACTTCTGAGTCTTTTTGGTGCAGGAGAATAAGCTTATAACGTACAACCCCAATTTTTTTTACTTTTACATAATAATAATATATACTAGCTGTTTCTATAAGAACAATTAGCAAAATTCAAAATCAAAGTTTCATTTTTTTTCCACCTCAGGCACCAAGTCCAAAAGCTGGTTTCCAAGCAGAAATAAAATGAGTATTTAACATTATTTAAATTCTGTTTGATTTTAAATATAACCAATTCTTTTCTTTAATCAAGGCAGTCAATTTAATCATCTCTGCTGACCCCACCAATTTTTGCAGCCATTCGTCTATGGTGGGAATCACGGTATCCTTCCATTTTTGTATATAGAGTGTTCTTATTGCTGTCACAGATACCATGTTTCCTAAGCAATAATTAATTTTCCCTTCTGGACTCTCTCTTTCTCTCTCTCTCTCTCTCTTTTTCCAGGTGCTATAGCAATATCCATCCCTCGTCTAGACATCGTGATCTCGCTCGTTGGAGCCGTAAGCAGTAGCACTTTGGCTTTGATCATGCCCCCGTTGATTGAAATCCTCACCTTTTACAAGGAGAAGCTAAGTGTATGGGTGATCTTCAAAGACATTTCCATAGCCTCCCTTGGCGTGATCGGTTTCATAGCTGGCACATATGTAAGTGTTAAAGAGATTATCTGCCCCACAACTTTGTTTTTTGAGAATGGTACGGTCGGTTCAGCAACCTGCTTCAACACTTCCCACTTGGCCAAGGATGCCAATTAATGTCAGAAGATTGTGGGCCTGTTGAATTTCATAATAGATGCGTGTTTGCAAACCAAAGAGATTCCAGATGGACAGGTTTTGAAAGAGAAAATGGTTGGAAGAGGGATTTCCCCCCCTCCCCCCAATGAAATCTGCTCCTTTGGAGGATACAACTTATTCAAGATTTTTCTTCTCTTCCGTTCAAGCATCATGGACTGCTGTGTATTTATTTGCAAAAGGGACCAGAAATCAAAAACACTTCTTGATATCATGTTTGGACATCTCACATTGAGAGAATAATCCCTGCCAACTTCTTTATTTAAAGTTAAGCCAGTCTTTTGAGATCCTCTTCGCGTAACTTCGGAGATTAACAAGATTTATGCAAAAATCTGGATATCGTCTCTCTCTCTATCTCTGTGTGTGTATTGTGTAAATCTTTTATGTTTTGAATTTTATGTATCTACTTGGTATACAAGTAGAAATGCTTTCCAGTGGATTCTACTCCCCAAGTAGACAAGGACTTAAGCCCGTTCCATCACTGCAGTTTTTCCTCCGTGAGATTAGACCTGATGTCCCTGAATTAACAGCCTTCATGGTTTATCTTGGTAGAGTAAGATAAACTCATCATATTAGTAATTTCTCCTAATGTCTGCAAAGAAATATGTCTTCAGACTTAGGTCTCAGTTATGCAAATGGTTTACATGATGTGAAGGAACAAGAATGATGCAGTTTTGGAGAGGCAAAAAATTTGCTTGGCTTTTGGTAACAGAGTCAAGCCACAATTGTGGATTATCAAAGGACAGTTCCCCCCAGCATGCATGAGAGTAATATTACAGTTCCACAGAAAGCTGTATTTTTCTATTTATTTCTAACTACACAGAGCACTTCTATATTTGTATGTAAGCACTGTTTGGTTGCAAATGAGATATATCTGTAGAATTTTACTTTCTATGGAAATCATACGTATGTATCCTTTATGCTTTAATCTGTTTTTTTTTAAAAGAAAACAAATTTTGATAATATGAAGGTGCCATAAAACTCCTGTTCAGAGTAAACCAGTTGAAAACAATTAAACTTACGGTAATAATAGCCATGATTTGATCTTAGAAATTTCAATGAGTATATTCTAAACATGACAAAGTCTGGTCTTAACTCAACAGTTTGAATCCATTAAAATACATTGATAAGGGGTTCATGTCTTGGGGTGACCTATTCTTTCTAAACCTTTCTCACTCTCAATTTGCTAAGGACCTGAATAAGAAGAAAGGGACTATATCTTCTGTTTTACTTGCTTTTGGCCATAATAGTATACCCTGAAATTGTCACAGGCTATTATTGTCTGGTTCTCTTTGTTCCCATGAAATTTCATAATCCAAAGCAAGCAGAAGAGCAGATACACACAATCTTATGATGTGAAGGATTCAATAAAATAGGAAGTTTTCCTCTGCATTATGCATTGATAGGCTGTTTTGGAGTCTGTATTACAGACCTTTTGTGTTTTTCGTTCATCTGTACACAGTATTCATACATCATACGACATTAACATACAAGATACGTCACACAACTTCACCTTATCCTGCCTGGGATTTATATTCCTTGCTAAAGTCTTTGATTCCTTCTTGAACCTCTTTCTCTGAGGCATTCATTCCATCTTTGGAAAACCTAGCCGGAGGCAGGGAGAAGGGGAGGAAGAAAGCAACACAATTCTTTTCCTAAAAGTTGTGGAAAGGATTGTTGCCATGTTATTCTTCGCTTTGGTTGCTGAATTTGTGCATTCAAGGCCTCCAGTTTTTCTGGACTGCAAAAAACAACGGGAGCTGTGCTAACTCTGCAGTTTTAACCAATGACTCTGCAGTCCTTAAAGTAAAAAGCATAACTTTCAAGTTATGTTTTCTTGATCTGTTATCCATGTTCTTTTTCCTGATTGGTCTGTGAACTTGAGGTTACTTTTTACTGGACATCATAATTTTGGAGTATACAAATTTCACTGCACCAAACGAGTTAAAAAAAATGTATATTGCTATAACAGTGTTGCTTAGAGCTGAAAACATGATCAGCAGCCAGTATTTTTAAGCCTGACTGCTTTAGTCATGTAAAAGGAGGATGAGCTCCAATTTTCAAGCAAGACCTTTCAAGCAAGCGTCTCTAGACACCCTCTGGACCAGGGCTTCTCGACCTCGACAGCTTGAAGAAATGTGGACTTCAGTTCCCAGAATTCCCCAGCCAGTCATTGCTTGGCTAGGGAATTCTGGGAGTTGAAGTCCACACATCTTCAAGCCGCCAAGGTTGAGAAACACTGCTCTGATGGGTACATTTCAACTATTTCCTGCAAGCAAATAGGTGTAGAGCCATATTCTTAACCCCAATATCTGACTCAGCAGGCGTACCTTCAAATTGAAGGTACTGCTACAATTGCATCTGCATTGGCTCTCAGCCTAAACAGTTGTAAAAGAATAATTTAACCTATCCGTCTTACTTGCAGAGAATGCCAAATTTGGTTTCTCTCCCCCTTTTGGTTTTGCCGGTGCTCTGGGTGCATTTACAAGTTTCAGAACTGCCAAACGCACCCAGAAGGTCCATGTTTTGTCCCTTGAACTGTGCTGGGAATCTTCGCCAATAGGCCGAAGGATGACACTCGGTGATACTATAATCTGTAGCCCACCCAAATGACAAGGCAGACAGAATACATTTGTAAAGTATTTGTAAAGTCTACGATGTGCCTTTTGTAAGAGCAACGGAAGCACTGTTTTTCCCCCAAAGTGGATGCAGATTTTCCACATCAATGCCATTGGGTGGCCATTGTCCTGAAGAGTATGTAACTTCATCCAACCCTACCATCATGTTCAGCTACTCTTATCTGGCCTTCCTAGCAACTATCCAGATTTGTTGCTGTTTCCCCTGGGTACAAAAGTATTTTCCTTGTTTCTTTCCCAATTGCTGTAATTGATGGGACCAGATGTTTCACATGTCCCTCAACAGTAGATTTTTTCCCCCTACTGTGTAGGAACTTATTACTTCAAAGTGGCTGATTCAGCACATTGTACCAATAGAATGCCTTCACCTCAGCAGCACTTACTCAAGGAGTTGGAATAGAGTCGTGGCACTAGGTATTTTTGTGTCTATTATGAAAAAAAAAGAAAAAAAATTAAGGAAGCAAATTCACTAGGACAAAGGCGTACTTCTCAGGATCCTAATCTAAGCAGTGGCACTGTAGGAAACCAAGTTCCAAAGAGTGCTTGCCAAAGGTCTTAAAAAAATTTTTAAAAGCACAATAATAATGCAATGTGTTGGTTTTGAAGATAAAGCAATACGATGGAAAGCTCCAGTGAAGAACAGCTGGAGACAATGAAAGACTGCAGAGTTTAAAACAATGCCCTTTTAAAGAGGCAATCAACAGCAAATCGAAGGAAAGGAATTCCCGCGCATGTTTAAGTTTATGGAACAAAGTATTATGTTTGTATGCATTACCTGAATTTATATTGAAGTGGATTTTATTGTGGGCAGCTTTAATGCAATGTACACATGGGCTGCATTAAAAAGTCTGCCACTTACTCATTACTAACTTTCCGTAGGGACAGTCTCTGTGTAAAAATCCCCCTGTGTTCATTCCATGCCTTCAGTTTCCTATGGAATTTTTAACTTAATAAAAATATTGCAATATAATTACTCTGCATTTTTCTTCCAAAATTCTTCAACATATCATTTTGGTGGCTTTTCATCCCTGGCAGGGTGCAATGGGCAGGTGTGATGGGGAGATATTGGTAGTTAGATTGATAAGCTGGTCTAAACGTCACTGCTTGTGCATGCCTCTTTTCAACCTCTTATCTACCTATTGGGAAATAACTTAATCAGAGCAGGTTTTCTGCTGTGAAAGTGGTGTGCGGCTGAACAGAAAAAAAAACACCAAGCGTTGTGCTGTTCTCCAAGCGTTTTTATTTTTCCTCCTAAAACTATACAGAACCAAGTGCCGGATGGGCTAAGTTGAAATATATATTTAGATGGGATAAATTCCACTCCTGCTTAAAACAGGGGTTCTTGCTTTATGGTGCCGGGACCACCTAAAATAATGAATGAACTGGTGTGATTCCCACAGTGACTAAAACT